CCACTCCAACCATTTGCCCGATCCCAAGACGGCCCCGACGAGGCCGCCATCGCAGGGACGACGAACTGACCCCGACCGCGCCCGCGCTGAGCAAGTCCGCGGCCATGTCTTCCACTGCGTCCGCCTGCCATCGCCGTCGTCGCAACGCCGCCACATTGGCGCACGTGGCCCACGCGCCTAACCAGCGGCAGCAGCTCGTTGAATTGGGCCTCCGTCTCCGGCAAATTACCGCGGAAGCCCATCAGCAGGTTGACCTACTCCGACGGTGGGCTGCGAAGCCCGCTCGAAAGCAACCGCGCGAAGCCGCTCGGTCCAAGGTCCAAGCTGCCATCGGCCGCTGCCCTGAACTGCAAGCTCGAGAATCTGCCCAACGCGGCGTCGACGTCTTCACGATGCATCCTCCTGAAGCTCATCGGTTCTGCAATCGATGGCGTCGATGTCTCCGCATCTAGTGGGGCGAACTGCCGCTGCAAGCCCCGAACTATCATCGCCAAACTTGATGCCTGTCGCATACGAAGGCCGTCCTGGAGGTCGCGCGTGCCACCGTCTCGTCCCGTCTGAAAGCCCAAAGTACTGCGCAACTCTCTGGCCACCCCTCGCAGCAGCCAAAAAAATGCCGCGCCTTGAGCTGTGTCTGGTAGCTCGCAAGCGAAGGCCCTCCACACCACATTGCGAGCCCACGTCTTGAATTGATAAAACCGACGCAACCGTGAATCCCAGGCCTGTGGTACCTACATCGTGCCCATGATGCTGGCCTGGTCCGCCACGTTGCCGAAACCTGCGTTGTTGGGCATCCGCATCATCGCTGCTTCTGCCAATCACCGAATCAAATCCGTCGCGCACTGACGGGGCCGAAGCCCCGCTACCATGGTCGACTGACATTGGTGAGATGAGGCGAGAGTCTTCTCCGATGATAAGAAGAAAGAGCAGTGATTTAACTCACGCAGCTGCGAAAATGCAATACCTGAAGGCGCCCTGCTGAGGTGAAGCGGCAATGAAGACGCTATGCCAAAAAATGTGTTCAGGATGTTCCAGAAAACCCTTCCCGGAACATTATGGGTCCGTGCCGCAGCATTTGGGCCCAGAAGGGGAAGACATCATATCTGTGTCAAGGCTGAATGATCCACTGCTTTCCGACTGGACGAAAGAAGACGAAGGAAGATGGAGGAGGGAAAACGGAAAGAGAAGGATGGGGCGAATGGGGAGGCGGACGCGACGAAGGAGGAAACCCAGCGGCCAAAATTGAAACAAAACGCAAGGATCGAAACACACATCCGTTCAAGGTCTGGGCACACCTGCCTGACAATCCACCGGCCTCCTGGCGCAGGTGGCAAAGAAACTCAAGCTCGATCGGCAGAATGTACATCAAAGGACAACGATGACGATTAGCAAGGGAAAGTTGGAGAAGAAGAACAACAAGAAAGCATAAGAAGAAAAAGAAACAGAAACCAAATGATATGATACATAAAACAACGAGAAAAAGACTCTTTTTCTCGTAGTCGTTGCCCCTGGGAGGCCTCGAGTCGTTGCCCCTGGACGCTCCCCCTGGCCGCTCCCATCCTGCTCCCCCTCCCCCCCTCTCTCCTCCTCTTCCTCCTCCTCTTCCTCCTCCTCCTCGTCCTCCTCCTCCTCCTCCTCCTCCTCCTCCTCCTCCTCCTCCTCCTCCTCCTCCTCCTCCTCTTGCCCCTCCTCACCCGAACTCGACCGCCCGAAACCGAACCCGCCCCGAGGCAAAACCGAACCGGCTCAAACCGGACCGCCGCCGAAATCGAACCAGCTGCAACCGAACCGGGCCGCCGCCGAACCGGCCCGAACCGGCCCGAACCGGACCCTAGGTGAAAGAGGGGGAGGAAGAACAGAACATGCGGAGCCAACACGGCCACTACACGGCCCGAGAACTCACGAAAAGCCGACAAATGAACGCCAGCACGACCTCCAAGGACACTGGGCGCGCTCTAAAAGAATCCCGAGAACACTCAGGAAAAAAACAACTTGTCTGCATAAGACGGAATGGCCAATCGATTCGGGGGTTAAGTCGGGCATGTCCCCCTACAGGCGGACTTTGGACGAGGAATTAAAAATTCCCCCCAACAACTCAAAAATAGTGATTTTGGTTTTATATATATATATATATATATATATATATATATATATAGACACACCTATACGACCACCCTGCGGGTGATAAGGAGGTTGGGGGGGGAGGGGCCCAGCAATGGGCAACAGTGGTGAATGTTGTTGTGACAATGCCAGTGGAGATAGTTGCGTTGCCGCTCGCTCTTGGGAGCGTTGGTGTCGAGTTGTTTACGTCATCCTTTACTTAGACTGGACCCCTAGACTGGACCCCTGAACCTCTGGAGGCCTCGAGCCCCTGGAGCCCTCGACCCCCAGACTGGACCCTTGAACCCTGGGAGGCCCTGAGCGCCGAGGACCCCCGGGCCCGCAAGGCCCCTGGGACACCCGCACCAAGGCCCCTGGGACACCCGAGCCCCCCGGACCCCGACCCAACGTGCTCGGGGCCCTGCCTGTGGACGGCGGTCGCCCTGTGCCCCAGAAGGGAATCATTTCGTCCGGCCGCGCCTCAGCCACACGGGACACCAGCGGGACACCGGCGGGAAGCCGCGGGGCCCCGGCCGCCCGGAAGGGAATCATTTGGTCTGGCCGCGCCTCAGCCACACGGGACACCAGCGGGACACCGGCGGGACACCGCGGGGCCCCGGCCGCCCGGAAGGGAATCATTTGGTCCGGCCGCGCCTCAGCCACAGGAGACTTTCTCTCGCCCGCCCACGCAGCTTCGCCTCGCCCGCACGGCACGCACGAACACGAAACCGAAATCGATTTCCCGGTAGGGGGGCTCTCCGTTCCACTTCGATCTCACCCCCCAACCTCCGATATATATATATATATATATATATATATATATATATATATATATATATATATATCTATATATATATATACACACATATATACATATATACATATATACATATACATATAAACCTGATCCCCCGAATATGTTTGACTATTTTTTGAAAGTCCCTCCCGTAGAGGGACAGGCCCGACTTAATTCTAGGGCAGCAGCGGTCTCCGAAGCCGCCCAGCGAGAGCAACGGAAGCCCCGGACAGAGTACGATCTCACATAATACGCCCACCATGAGTATGTACATTGGGACTCCTCCTTCTCCTCCTCCTCCTCATCCTCGTCGTCCTCCTCCTCGTCCTTTTCCTCCTCCTCCTCCTCCCCTTCGTCCTGTGGGGGGGGGGGGCAGCGGCAGGAATGTTAGGGGGCGCGGGCGAACGGGAAAAATATGATGTGTGTCTGTTTGCTGCGTTCGTTCGCGTTGCATTCGGTCGGGCTGCCACTCTCGCACGCCCCCACCCCGAACAAAAAACATATGAAAGGCGCACGCCACCCGAATCTTGCGGGCGATCCTGCCGGGCGCCCGCACGCCCGAATCACGCAAAGGAGCCGAGCCGACGAAAAACACGAGAGACCCCTCAATCTGCAAAATCTTGCATTTCCCAACCAATCGACCAGGGCAGACGCAGGCGCCCGCGCCGGGGCGCACGCATCATCACAGCGACAACATGAGAACACCAGGCGCTAAAACTCGCGCAACGCATGCTCAGGCGATCGCAGCGATCCGCAGTCGAATGGGGTTGAAGCACGCGTCGGCTGCGCTAGAGCAGACCAGCGCGCGCGACAATCTGGCACGCCGAAGCCCAAGCTACTCACGCACGCAGCATAGCTGTTTGCACTGTTGAGAAATCCAACGCCGGGCCCCAGAGAACCCGTCTGCATTTCGGCTTCCATACGGCGCGAGCTACGTGGGAATGTACGCAGGGGGGTGATTTTAAACAGCGGCCTCCTCAATTAGAGGGTTGATTGAAACATCATTGACGCGTTTTTCTCCTCCTCCTCCCTCCTCCCTCTTCCGCCCACCCCCATACACTCTCCTTCTCCTACCTGTTCGTTCCCCCCATTCCTCCTCCCCTTCCTCCCTCCGTGCCCTCCCTCCCCACTTCCCCTCCACCCATTCCCTCTCCCCCTCCCTCCGCCCTTCCTGGGGTAACGACAAAAAAACCACACCAATACTCCACGGACCTCGCCAAGGTTGCGTCCTGACCAAAGTTCCGAAAATTCGCCGGCCCAACGGGCCAGAGGCGTGCTAAGATCTCCGGTAACTGCTAAATAATACTTCTACTTCGCGCGCGCGGGGCGGCCCCTGGGGGTCCCCCGACGAAAAGTACCCGGGGCGATCCCCGGCAGGGTCGGGTCAGAGATGGTTTTCCTCCTGGGCGCCGCCCCCGTGGCCCTCCAGAGAGCCCCAAGAAGGGCCACGAGGCCGCCAAGAGCCCTCCGAGATGGTTCAAGAGTGCTCCGAGATGCCACACGATCGTTCCAAGACGCCCAAGATGGCCCCCAGACGCCCCAAGAGGCCTCCAAGAGCACTCCCCAGAGGGCCCTAAGAGGCAAAATTCATTACTTTTCCTTAGGTTTTGGGCAGATTTTGGCGTGTCCATCTTTTCGGCTTCCCGACGCCCCAAGACGGCCCAAGAGGCCCCCAAGATCGCCCCAAGAGGGCCCAAGAAGCTCCCAAGAAGGCCCCAAGATGGCCCAAGAGGGCTCCAAGACGGTCCCAGAGGCATCCAAGACGGGAAAACAAAACAAAACTTCGAGCCTCGGCCTTAAGAAGCCCCCAGGAGGCCTCAAGAGGCCCCTGAGAGGCCCCAAAAGCCCCCAAGAGGCCCTCAGGAGGCCCGCAAGCGACGCTGAAGAGGCCCCCCAGCGGCCCCAAGAGGCTCAGTCATGCGAAATGGGCCGGCGGAATGAGCGAAGCGATTCAATAATCCAGCCGTTGCGACGAGAAGCGGTCTCGGTACCGTGTTCTTCCTGTAACGTTTTCCGTCCTTCCCCTCCCGCCCTCCCACCCCCCATCCTCTCCCAATCCCCACCACCACGACGCAGGGCGCCCAGCCCCATGCGCGGCGGTCTCCTTGGCTAACCGCTCGAGCTCCGGGAAGGTCGGGAGCCCGTCGGCGCCCCGGCTGCCAAGCGTGCCGCGGAAGACGTGCGGCGACTGGCGGACGGCGTCCCGCCCTCGCCCTCGCCCACTTCGCCGTCGTCGTCGTCGTCTGCCTTCCCCCACTTCTCCTCCAAATCGTCCCCCATCGTCCTTCCGCCCACCCTAGTCTCCTCCTTTTCCTGGTCCTCGTCCTCGTCCTCGTCCTCCTCCTCCCATCCTCCTCCTCCTCCTCCTCCTCCTCCTCCTCCTCCTCCTCCTCCTCCTCCTCTTCCGTTCCCTCCTCCTCCTCCTCCTCCTCGCCCTGCTTTTCCACAAAACTTCTCAACCAATACCAACTCGATGGAAAGAAACGGAAACAATATATTCATGTCATTTCCTCCTCTCCCTCGGCCTCCACATCCTCCTCCTCCCCCTCCTCCTATCCGTCATCATCATCAACATCATCAGCATCATTTTCATCAACATGAGCATCGCCATCAGCATCATCATAATCAGCAGGATCATCATCATCACCATCATCAACATAACCATCCTCACAACCATCCTCATCACCATCAGCGTCATCATCACCACCAGCATCATTATTCCACTTCTCCTCCTCTATCGCTTGTTCGTATACATACCTCATCCAAGTCGCACTCCCAGACATGTCGGCAGGGCGGGCCGGGCGTTGCGCCTGAGACTTCTGAGCCATTTATGATCTAGCTTTTCTTCCCAAAAGGGACCCCCAGAGGGCCCGCAGAGCCTCGGACGCCACCAGAAACAACCACCGTGCCGGGCCTCACCCGGACCCGCGCCCGTAGACGAACCGCAGAGCCTGGACGCGAGCCCCCAGGCCCCAGGGCGGCGCGCCTGCAGCGACCTCCGCTGCCGCGGCCGCCTGTACAAGGGCAGCGCCCCCAGCGCCGTCCGCCCCAGCCAACGCTGCGTCGCCAGCAGGGTCGCCTCTGGCGGCTGTGCCAGCGTCGCCTGCGGCGCCCCCAGCCGGCGTGCCCTCGAGCGCCTCAGCAAACGCCCCTGCTCCAGGCGCCGCGGCGGCGCCACTGAGGCCGCCGGCGCCCGTGGCAAGGCCCGCTTCGGCCACGCGGGCCCGCGCCTCGAGCCCCGCGGGGGCGAGCCCGGCCAGCCCTTCCGCGGCAGCCGCGCGCGGCCTGCTCATCGCCCTCGGCCACGCGCGTCCGCACGCGGGCGGGGCGTCGGGGGGGTCCGCGCATTCTGGCGGCCCCATCGGGCAGGCAGCGGCGATGCTGCCCCCTCAAGCGCCGCTGGAGCTCCACGGAGATGGCGGCGCGCGTGCGCTGCAGCAGCGGCCGCCAAGCCGGGGTGCCGCGACGCCGTGCCGCCGCTCGGGTTATTCCCTGCAGCGCGTCCGCGGCCTCCACGTGGGCCCTCCCGTCGCTGCTCCAGACCTGGTACCGCACGCCCCGCCGCCGCAGCTCGTCGAAGTACAGCGCGTACGCCTGCTTATTGCGGTCGACCGCTGCAGCGCAGCAGTCCAGCCCTGCGCTCGCGACTTCCGGCGAGCACACCCCGACGCCCAGTACCGCGAGGCTGCCATGGGCAGCCGACGTATTGATGTCAGCTGGGCGCAGGAGTGGACGAGAGGGCATGAGGCCGAAAGGCTCCGGGGACGCCTCCGGGTCGCCCAGAGCAGCCAGCAGGCGCACGCGGTGGCACGCGCGGTAGCGGCCCCGGATGGCAGCGCCCTGGGCGCACGTCTGCGGGCGCAAGCCGCATCGATCCACGATGTCGCCGCACAAGGAACACTCCGCGCCCTCGGGGACCAGGGGCACCCCAGGCGAAAGGCCAAGGCTCGAGTCGACGTACTCGGCGGCGCTGAGGACCGGCCCGCGCGCGGCATTGAGGCCACGGATCCACGAGTGATCTGTGGACGGGTGCCTCAGCGGCGGAAGCCGGGCCAGTCGCCGGCGGCCCTAAGAGCCGCGTCGAGCGCCTCGAGCCGTTTCCCCATGGACGAGCGAGGGACAGGGCGCCCTGGAGGCGGGATCCGTCGCGTTCCTCCAAGTCCTCGGCCCCTGCTGGCTGGGCGATGGCCTCGGCCTCAGCCGCGGGCGCGGTCGTTACCACGGCCTGGCCTGACCGAGCAGCGGAGAACCGCGCTGCTGCCTCCCCCTGGCCTGGGCGAGGAGGGCGTCGATTCGCGCCCGCCTAAGCCAAGCCCGCCAGGCCCGCCACAAAGGCCGCAGCGGCCGCCCAAAACGGCGCCACAGGCCCCAAAACCACCGCGTGCGCCGCGACCACGGCGGCAGGCAGCACCGTCGCCAGCGCCTTTCGCCGCGCGACGCCGCTGGCGGCCGCGAGCAAGTCGGGCGCCGCGTTGCCGTCGTCGCTGAGCCGCTGCAGGATAACGCGCCGCAGGCCAGGGGCTGCCCCGGCGGGTTCCGCGCTGACCGCCCGGTGCCAACGCGGCATCGCAAGCTGCCCAGGAGGCGCCGGAGGCCCGACCGCGCCGGCCGCGCCAGCCACGCGGCCGAAGGCGTGCGCCACCCCGCTGCCCCCGAGGCACCGCCCCCAGCCCAGGGCCAGCGGCCCGAACCCGGGGGCGCACTGCGCCCCAGGCGGCTGCCAGCCCCCGCGCTCGGCGACGGCGTGGGCGATGGTGCCGCGGCGCCCTCCCGTCGTCGCAACCCAGGGCGCGGTCGCTGCAAGCGCGGCGGACGAAGCGCTGTCCCACACGCGCGCCGCCACTGCCGCAGCATCCGCCCATGTTTCCATGGCTTGAACCCGTCTTGAGCCCCGTCTTGAGTCCAGCTTCCCGTCCCGTCTTGAACTGTGCCCCTCCTACCTCCACGTTCCTCAACGCACCTCCTATGTGCCTCCTGCCCTCCTTCCTCCTCCTCCTCCTCCTCCTCCCCCTCCCCCCTTCCTCCTCATGCCCCTCCTCGAGCGTGCCCGAGAAGGCCTCATATCCACCACTCTACCGCATCAGGGAGAAGCGAACGGCGGGAAGGGGCGCGCTGGCCTCATCGCCAGCAACAGGGGCCCCACGTTGCCGCGCCATCGTTTTTGTTTCAGCGCGAAGCAAGCACGCAGCAATCGGAAGACGAAACTGACAGACAGATTGACTAATGAGGCCGAGGAAGGCAAGAGGCGAGGCAGGAGGATCGAAGTCGACGAGGGAACGGAGGAGGGAGGACATGCGTGGACAAGAGAGATCTATCAGGAGCCCCAGGGCAGCCAAGCACACATTGGGAAACGGAAGTATGTTGGAATGTGGAGTCGGTGCACCAGTTGTTGCTAAGAGGACGAAGCACAGCTAAAGAGTGGCACGGTTTCAACTTCCGAATCGTTTCCTGGATCTGCGGCCACAGGAGGCCTTGGATCTCCACCGCCAACGCGGGACAAAGCGAAAGAAGGCGACGGGGCACCAACTCGGGCCAGCCCCCCGAAAACGAAATGCTGGAAAACGAGCTAGTCTGGCATCTTTGGAGCTTGAATCGACCCCATATGGCTCACGGCATCTTGCATCGCCATTGAGCAACGCTGATGGGAGTCCTCCAGTCTGTTTTTTTTTTTCTCTGGGTGCTTTGTGAACCCTTCGGCGGCCTCCGCCATGCGTTGGCAAATCGTTCGAGACCCCCGCCAATCTGGATTTCTCGTGCCAAGACCGTAGCCAGCGAGCCCCATCTCGTCGAGCGCAGCCGTCTCGAGCGCCTCCAAAATCTGGCGCCACGACGAGAAGGTTGAACATGCAGCTCGCGCGCGGATCGCGAGCAAGAGCGCGCCACCGATAGGATCTTCGGGCCGCCCCACGACTCCGTCGAGCGCCGCGCTGAACGGGTGAGCCCACAGCGAAGGATGCGAAAGGGGCGAGCAAGCATTGCATCCTGGCGCCAAGGAAGGCTAGGTGGACCAGGAAGGAACTGACCGACATACCCAAGCACTGGCACCACACAGCGAACACACAAATCATGCGCGATCGAGGCAGGCGCGCTGGCGACAGCCAGCGAAAGCCCCCCCCCCCCACCCCCGTCGCACGCCCCCCCCCCCCCCCCCCCCCCCCCCCCCCCCCCCCCACCACAACATTTCCACTCAGCGCCCGGCCCCGACCGCGCCCCCCAGGTACAGTGAGTTTTCGACGGCCCCGAACTCACTCCACTCGGGAACAAACAACCCTACCTTCTGCTTGTAGAGGGCCGCCAGGGCCGGCTTGAACGGGCCGCTCAACTGCGCGACCATGCACTTCACAGCCTTCAAAATGAGGCCAGCGAGGGAGGCGGCATTCTTAAAGACGCGGTGGAGCTTCTCCACGTATTGGAAGCGCCTGATGGCTGCACCTTCGGCACATGCCTCGACCTCCCCTTGGTTCGCGGCGTCGATGTTTTGTTGGGGGAGAAAACAATCAGTCGTAGCCGCGTAAAGCAGCCCACTCCCCGGGCGCCCTTGAATCGTTCCAGATCGAATACTGAAGGGGAAACCACGGTTTCGCCAGCAGTCGCCCAGCTGACCACTTTGAAAAAAAATATTGATGATGAAGAGGTAGAGCGGGGGCGGGAGTCGGATGGCACCCAGGGCCAGCATCGCCCAATCGCGGGGGAGCGAAGGGAGGGCTCGGGAGCAGTCGAAGGAGAGAAGGGCGGGAAGGTCGGCGGTAGCTGATGGGGCCATGGAACAGCGGCGCGCCGCGCCGTCCAGTTGGACGGCATTGCCCCCGAACTGTCGGCCGCGGAGAAAAGCGCGCCGCGCAGGGCAAGCGAGCGACGCCCAGCGTCGCGAGAACGAGGCCATGCACACTCCCACCATAATTTTGCTGACAATATTTGTGAGCCCAGCCCCAAGGGTCGGAGGTCCCCCGCGCTCCGAGCAACCCTAAATGCGCCCCCCTCCTGAGATCCTCTCGGGGCAATGGCGCCGAGCAGGACATTGAAATCGTAGCCCAGCGCCCCGCCCTCGAGGGCCCGCCAGAGGCAGGCGTGGAGAACGTCAACAGCGCCTGGGGCGTGCTGCCACGCGGTATATGGAAGCCTGTCGGGGCCCGGGGCCGAATGGCGTCGTCGCCGAATGTAGTTTCCGATCTGCCGACAGGTCGGAGGCGAGAGGTCGGAGAGGTCGC